TCTCTCTAGTGGTGTTAGATGTTTTTCTTTTTCCATTTTTCTTAGGTGTCTTTTATATTGTTATCACAAGACACATCACAAGACACTCACTTGTCACACTCATACCTGATCTATCACAAGACCGACTGACCACACAAAGACCTTATAAACAGAAAAACACTGACCATGACATCCCCTAAACTCCACTGAAAATGTTAATTAGCCTGGTAATGAAATGTTCGGAAACCAATCCACAAGCTCAGACAAGGAACCTTCACCCTTATTTATTTATTTGTATTCCACTTTTATTATCTTTGTAAATAACTCAAGGTGGCGAACATATCCAGCCCACCTTCCTTTTTCTACTTTCTCCATAGCAGCAACAATCTAGTGACATGGGTTGAGCTGAGAGAAAAGTGGCTGGTCTAAATCACCCAGTGGGCTAAAGTGAGACTGGAATTCACAGCCTCCTGTTTTTTAACATAGTGCTTTAATCATTAGACCAAACTGACTAGTGATAAACATTACTGATTTTGGGGTGCAGTTTTCTATATTTTTAACATGGGCAGAATAGAGGCATTATTTTTTTAATCTTAAAATACATATATCGCACCAAAATCTCTTCAACAGCAATAAAGTAGTGGGGAAAACTTATAGGAAATTTTGTATAATGTTTTGATTTATTTTGTCTATGGCAAAATCTTTAAAGTTTTGAATTGTAAGTAGCGTATATGTTGATATATATTTTAAATAACTTAACCATTTCTTTATATAATTACAGTTCTGGCTGGATCCTACAAAGACACTTGCAGAGCATAAGGAACTGATAAATAGTATGTATATGATTTGAACTTTATAAATATTGTTTAGTGACACAGAGGCTTAGAAAGTACATCTATAAATCCAATCTTTTTGAGAAATCTGACACAAGTTTATTTTGTATGTAGAAACACTGATCAATCTCAAAACTGAACATACTGATTTAAGTGCTAAAATGTATTTTTCAACATGTGTACAAACATTCTTATTTCAATCCTGTTTCTGTTTTATTCTGGTATGTGCATGAATAAGTTTGATAGCTTATGGTTGCTGCCGAAAAAATTCAGTGGGGATATTTAAAATTTTAATATCTGAAAATTAATTGAGGCACTCCAGTACTCCAGTGGTAAATTATTTTGAATTGTGTTCTAAGAAAAAAAGGAAAGATAATTTAATAGCTGTTATATAACTAAAATCAGAAACAAAAGCAGTTGAATGCTTGAC